AAATGAAAATTTAAAAACATGAATAACTGACTAAGTAAATAATACCTAATTATTAAAATGTCCTAACTGCAGGATGTCTCTAAAATAACTTTTTTTTTGTCGTTTGGTAGGAAAAAACTCTGCATTTTTATGAAAATCACACCATATCTAAGCGACATAAAACACGTCACAGAGTGATGAAACCTATACTAAACGACGCGGAAAAATCAGACGATTCCAATGGTGTATCTAACTCATTTTGCCTACTTTTGTCGCTTAGTCAGGATTGCCTTTCAAGCGTCGATATGCATTCATAGTATTTACTTTGAGATAGAATACTTCTGAATTGTTTAGTTTTTTGTTGTTGTAAAATTGTTGGAATAATTTACCATTTTTCTCAAGTATTGCAGCTAGTTCCATCGCAATCAAAATTCCACTATCACACCCAAGCAAGTAGAAATTATTACCGACACCAATTTTTTCCATGAGTATCTGAAAACAAGCAGAATTTGATGGATTTTATTGCACGGGTCTTTTTTTTGCTGATCAGATTTTATAGCTGGACTATCTAGTTGATATAGCTATAATAACCATAGTGATGTTTGCTTTAGGGGCTTTTGCTTCTTATATCCCCTATTTGAATGAAATGAAATCATTTCTTTCAGAAACAAGTCCATATTATGTGTACCTAGCATCAATTATTCCAAAGAAAATAAAATTGTCGTTAATATTGAGTGTTAGAGTGATAGAGTGTTCGAATCCAAGGATTATCCTTTGGCAACCTTTCCAGATTTTTAGGATTCACTAGCTCGAGCAGTATTTATAATTGAATAAATGTTGAAAGTTCTTAACAGACTAAAAGCACACATCGGAACAAAGATTGGGGCTTCACAAAACATAAGGCCGGATTTGTGTAGAGTTATACTCCCATCTAGGGAGCCGAAGCTCCAAGATACCCGCTACTTCCTATTGATACTACATCCAATTGACTGTAATAGGAGATATTTTGACTATTGTACCTCAACCGAAACAGAATTCATCCGTTCTTCTTGGAACCACTGCGCTACTCAACAATACGTGTTTGTTTATTGATAATTTTTGCCATATACTCGTACGATCGAATTCTGTAATGAGTTCCCTCTCAACATAGAAATCATCAGACATGCACATCTCAAAAAAATTATGAAAAAAGCTCAACTGGATTTTAAGTGGTATTAAAAATCTTCAACTCTTTAGTCAAAAAACAATTCTGTGATGTAAAAAAAATGGCAGAAACAAAAAACTAACGCGTTTTAAAATTTAATTTATAAGTTACATATGCTATACCTAGTTAAGTTAAAATCTGTAGGTACCTTAGAGTAGCGTTGAGCGGCTTGTTCTATGGTTTCGTGCAACACATCCAAACTTGGCTGCAGCACCAGCGCGGGCAGTTTGAGTCTCTCGCAGAGACCACGAAATCTTACGTGATGACCTTCAATCCCAGGAACAACGCACAAGTACTCAGATTTCAGTGCATCGAATCGTTTTTCCTGCATAGAAGATGTTTTACCAGTACTTAATATTTTTTCTCTTAATTAATGTTAACAAGTATAATATTGTTTTGTATTCTATTAAGTACATTCTACCTAATGGACAATTCCTTTTACGAAAAGTTTACTTTTTGACCGTTTTTTTAAATAATGCAGACCACATTTTAGTTCGTCGGAAAACAATCGTGGCCCAAGGCGGAATATCATGTTGAAGACACAGGTTTGCGCGTTCACTGCGAAGAAGGACCCCTTTGTCATGGCGCCGCAATTCCAAGGAGTATCCCTGCAACCTTCCAAGAGTATTGTGATATTTGGGGTCGACATTTCGAGCGATGTCCAGTTTCGGAGTCATTTGGAAGGCAAAGCCAAGTTGGCGTCCAAAATGCTGGGAGTCCTCAACAGAGCGAAGCGGTACTTCACGCCTCGACAAAGGCTTTTGCTTTATAAAGCACAAGTCCGGCCTCGCTTGGAGTACTGCTCCCATCTCTGGGCCGGGGCTCCCAAATACCAGCTTCTTCCCCTTGACTCCATACAGAGGAGGGCCGTTCGGATTGTCGATAATCCCATTCTCACGGATCGTTTGGAACCTCTGGGGCTGCGGAGGGACTTCGGTTCCCTCTTTATTCTGTACCGTATGTTCCATGGGGAGTGTTCTGAGGAATTGTTCGAGATGATACCGACATCTCGTTTTTACCATCGCACCGCCCGCCACCGGAGTAGAGTTCATCCATACTACCTGGAGCCACTACGTTCACAGTGCGTTTCCAGAGATCTTTTTTGCCACGTACCATCCGGCTATGGAATGAGCTCCCCTCCACGGTGTTTCCCGATCGTTATGACATGTCCTTCTTCAAACGAGGCTTGTGGAGAGTATTAAACGGTAGACAGCGGCTTGGCTCTGCGGCATTGCTGACGTCCATGAGCAACGGTAACCACTCACCATCAGGTGGGCCGTATGCTCGTCTACCTATACGGCAATAAAAAAAAAGAAAGAAAAAATCATATCCCGTCAATTCGAGAATTTTTCGATAGATTTCAATACTCTACTCACCGCATTTGCATTACCAAGAGTAGGCAATAAGTATATATAAGTATCGGAACTGAGCTCATCTTCAGCTATTTGAGAAAAGTAAACAGCCAAACCTTGTTTGTTCTCAAAGTGGTTTTCAAGAAAATCTATCTCTCGAAGTCTGAAACCCAGGAAAGTGTCAGTAAAGAAAAGTCAATCTTCTCTTCATTAAAGTTGATAAATCAATAATTGGATATGATAAACTTACTTTTGTTTATTTAACTTCAAAATTTTGTGTTCCGAAATACAAACATGATATTTCAGACGTAAAAATTCCTTAATTACTTTTATATTGTCACTTCCAGCAGCCAAATCTTGTAGAGTGGTCATGTCGCCAGCCTCTTTTAATAATGGAAGATCTAAAAATGAATTCAAATCATCATCATTAATTGTTTAGTGCAAGACTTATTGTTACAAAGTACAATCTTGTATTTCATACAAACACTCGTATTAAAAGTAAATATGTTTACCAGCGACATCAGCAAGCTGTTGATACAGCGGCGACGTCTCAGTGTTGATTTGTGCGACCAACAATGGAAGCTTGGAGCAAAGTCCAGTCTCGACTGCGTCTAATAGCGATAGATCCCAAGCTCTTCTGTCTAACAGTACTTCAGTATGTGTATCCCCCTGATGGGTTATTTTAATGAATAAATTAGTCGTATCTTTAACTTCGTATATGTGACCCTTTCTCCTTTATTTTGGTATTTTTTTATTGCTTAGATGGGTGGGCAAATTCCTGGCACGTCTGGCGTTAGGTTGTTCGTTATCGGAGCCCATAAACATCCACAACGAAATGCGCCACCTACCTTGAGACATGAGTTTTAAAGGTTTTAAGTTTGAGTTTAACAGTACTACGTCTGTCAAACACTTAAAACCTTTTTATTTTTTTATCAATGAAGAATTACTGGTGGCCCGGAGGCCTTTCCAGTTTTACCAGGACAGCTACCCGAGCACCTCCAAAGGAGACCTAACAACACAAGAGCAGTTGTTTCGCGAGTGAAACTACCACCAGATCGTAATCTGAACTCGCTGAAAAGAACTGGTGTGAAGCTCAGCAGGCTGATGTTTAGGTTAAGTTCCACGTCGAACTTTTTGCCAAGTTTGACAAGAACGAATACCGGAGTCCCTAAGCCTAGAGGTCCTAGTGCTAGAGCTGAAGGTGTCTAATGCAAGAATTATTGTATCTGATGGATCCGTAAGGACGTGTTAAAACCGACACGTACTAGGGCTTTACGGCAAAAATAGTTAGGGTGGTGGTACCCACGCTGGCTCATAAGTCGCCCAAGCATCAGACTATTACGCGATGTTATTTATTTATCGTGGAAGTCATTTGTGAACATTTGTTAAGTACGTATTTCAATAAAATAGATTGGTACCTGTTTGCGGGATTCGAATACCGGCACACTCGCACCACTCGATACTAATGTATCGGGCGTCTTAACCCTTAAACCACGACGACTTTCATTCCCTTTTTAGGATAACATTGGATTTTGGAATATGTATATAATTTAATCGTTGTATTGCTTGCTCCGTCATTTAAAATGAAAACTGATGGGCAAATCGCGCATTGCGAACAAAATAGATTTTCACTTCAAATTTCTTGTATTCTTCAACTTCAAATTTTATGTAGCATCAAAATACAAAATTCAAGGACAGTGTTACGTTTTGAATGAAATTAAATTGTGATTTTTAAAGTCAAACTCACACAAAAATCTGGCTTTTGAACTTCAATACGTGAAATAACTAAATTATCCTTCGCTCTGAAAATCGACGTTTGTTTTCCGACGTTTTCACTATTTGTAATCACTGCAAAATATCTAAAAATAAAATATTAACATTTTATTCTATCCATGAGTCATCCTTGACGGTTTAAAGCCAGCACTTTCGAGTGAAGGGCTGGTCAATATATTAAATTTGCCAAACGACTCGAAAGTCTTTATAGATGATAGTTCCTATTTTAAATTCAATTATCAACATTTTGACTTAAAGATAAATAAGTGATGACAGATACCGATCTTCAAGTTGTCCCGTGTACGCGAATTTTAATGCAAGTCCCAATCCTCGTTGCATATTAAAAGTCGTAAAACATAAAAATGGTTTTGCTATTTCTAATAAATAAAGAGAATGATGTCTATGTTTCGTAATTTTCTGGTTATTATGTTACATGCGTCAGAATCTAGAACTATTTGAGAATGCAAAAAGTCAGTTAGTCTTAAAAGCGTACTAGAACGTCAAACCTTAACGCTAGTTACCAATACAGGGTATCCCACAAAGGGGAATCCAACAGAATAGTGTTCTATTAGATAAATCAACTCAACAGAATAAAAGGTCCTAAGTTCTTGAATAAAGTTTTTTTTTAATTGCTTAGATGTGTGGACGAGCTCACAGCCCACCTGGTGTTAAGTGGTTACTGGAGCCCATAGACATATACAACGTAAATGCGCCACACACCTTGAGATATAAGTTCTAAGATCTCAGTATAGTTACAACGGCTGCCCCACCCTTCAAACCGAAACGCATTACTGCTTCGCGGCAGAAATAGACGGGGCGGTGGTACCTACCCGTGCGGACTCAGAAGAGGTCCTACCACCAGTAATTACGCAAATTATAATTTTGCGGGTTTGATTTTTATTACACGATGTTGTTCCTTCACCGTGGAAGTAAATCGTGAACATTTGTTAAGTACATATTTCATTAGAAAAATTGGTACCTGCCTGCGGGATTCGAACGCCGGTGCATCGCTAGATACGAATGCACCGGACGTCTTATCGTTTAGGCCACGACAACTTCATTCAAGAACACTTTGTATTCATCTTTCATTCATCTATTTCTCACAAAAACTATTTTTTTGCCAACACTTGAATTATGTTTTAGGTAAGGTTCCGTAATATGATCCATAGTAAAAAATAAGACGGGCTAATGCCAATTTATATTTTTGTTTTTAAATATATTTACTTTAAACATAGATACTGGAGTACATATACATAAAGAACATAAATACCGAATCCCCATTTTGAGACATGAGTTCTATGTCTCAGTTTTTATAGTTCAACGGCTACCCTACACTTCAAGCCGGAACGCATTACTGCTTCACGGCGGAAATAGGCATGGTGGTGGTACCTACCCGTGTGGACTCACAAGGTGGCTTTAGTACCAGTCAGTACTAACAGGAAGTAAATGTATTACTTACTGGTGGCACGAATTGAGTGTGTATACTGAATACTTTTTCTTTTCCAAATAAGCTATGTCCCTGTATGTGCCGGCGCCATTAGTCCGCTCCGACTGTGTCGACATATTAAACAGCTTCTTTTTTGCTTTACAGTTCATATTTAGTAATATTCACCGTAATAAGCTTGAAATTTGTTTTGGGCCTTATTCAGCCAGTAATATGGTTGCATTTTTGTTGTATTCCTTGTTTGAAATAAGTTGATCGAATTCGTTATTGTCCATCTCGTTATGGCGCGTTAAAGTAAATGAACGTGCATAATTTTTTTTATAGTAATGGGACACCCTGTATCTATACCTAGAGATCGGTATAATAAATGGCCAAACATAATATTTAAATTTAGTCTAATTTTAGTAAATTATGAATACTATAATAATTCTCACTTGAGGGATGGGCAAAATTTTCGTGACATAACATCAAGGTATTCCAAGCTATTTGATATGTATTTATTGTCCATATCTTTGAAGCTCGTCACATATACGCCTTCTACCGGTCCCATGGCTATAGTTTTCTTTAGCACGGTTGCAACATCATCCAAATCATTTAATTTATTTGAAGAAACGATAACATTAACTCCAAGAGATTTAAGATTTCTGAAATAAAACACTACTAATCTTGATCTGATAATTAATTCCATAAAGAGAGAGAAAGAGAGAGAAAGGGAAGGAGAGAGAGAGAGGGGGAGAGGGAGAGGGAGAGAGAGGGAGAGAGAGAGAGAGAGAGAGAAAGAGAGAGAAAGAGAGAGACAGAGAGTATTCTTTATTGTACACCAAAAAACAAATAAACGATGCGATACATTAAATACAAAAAAGTACAATTGGCGATCTTATCGCTAAGAGCGATCTCTTCCAGACAACCATCAGGTTGACAAGAATCATTTGGAAACGAACTACGCGCGGTGTACCAATCCAGTGAAATACATATACATATACATATATGTACACATACATACTTACATATATCCGTAAATATACATACAATGAATACACAATGTATTATAATATTCTAATAATTATTAAACAAAATTAAAAAAATATAATACAAAACAATATTTAAAAACAAATAAAGCTTAAAGTGTTGCGTATAAATAGAATAATATTAATCCAGTGACTGCGGACATTCAATAATCTAGTCGGTACTGTACCTAGTATTATTGCCAGACTTTCCTAGTTTGGAGCCGCACATACCAATATTTGAATACGACCTTTCTATTAAAAGTCTTGTCGACTTATCAGGTGCAGTAGTACCTACATATGCCACTATGTAACACGCTTTACCATTATATTATAGTGATCAACATAGCATTATTGGGAATAAGTAGTAGTATTGACCATGGTCGTATTCTGATAAGTAATCAAACAGACTTATAGTATGTAAGATGATGAAGAGAAGTAGATAATAAGATGATGATGATGATTCTGATATGATTATGCTAAAATTAATTTACACTGAAAATAGACAGTATTGAGAAATATAAGTAAGGGCATCTTGTCTGTGCGAGTGGGGAACCAGATGACACTATTCAATACAGCGTTGGCAGATAACATTCTGCTGTTATTAAATACCAGTGGCTACATAGGCGGCACTGAAAATTTCGGGAATTAACGAAGTGCCACAACATTACTATTTAAAAATGTATTTATTGCTTTTCGCGAAATTTGACACATTTTTCCATACTATGGAACCAATCATTGAAGCAACCATTCCATTCCATTCCATTCGGAAGTTGGGGTCTCCAAAATGGCCGTTTTGTAGGCGTCCACAGCTTCTTCAGGTGATGAAAATCTCTGTCCACGCAATTTATTCTTTATTTTAGGGAAAGTATAGAAATCATTAGGGCTTAGGTCGGGGCTGTACGGCGGATGTTCTAATAATTCTATGTTTGCTTGCTCTAAAAGCTCTTTTGTTCTGTGCGCGGTGTGAGAACTCCCATTGTCGTGATGGAGGATGATGCGACGGTTGCAGTTCTCTTTACGGAGTTCAGAAACGACCTGTGGCAAACAAATGCTAGCATACCATTCTGCATTAACCGTTCTTTGTCCCTCAAGAGGAATAGTCGTAACATGACCGGTTTTGGAGACAAACGTGGCCACCATTTTTTTTTGCAACACTCCGTGAACGAACAATTTTTGTTGGCTTTAACTCATTTTCGAACACCCAAACTCGTGACTGGTTTTTTGTTTCGGGTTCGTACGCGTATATCCAGGATTCGTCACCTGATACAATGTTGTATACAGCATTTGAGGATCCTGCGTGGAATCTTCCGAGAGTTCTGACGCACCAAGTAACGCAAGCCGTTTTTTGCTCTTCACAGAGCGAATGCGGTATCCATCGGGAAAACAACTTTTTTACACCTAATTGTTCATGCAAGATTATTTGTATTTGACTCATGCCAATGTCTAAAGTTGCCTGAATTTCGCGGTATGTCACATGTCAATCTTCCTCAATCAGATTACGCACAGCATCAACGTTTTCTTGGGTGACTGCAGTTTTTGGACGACCTTGACGGGGATCATCACTGAGCTTGACACGTCCACGTTGAAACTCAGCAAACCAGCGATAAATTGTGGTTTTGGATGGGGCTTCATCACCAAATGCAAATCATCCGGTCAACACACTGTTTTTGTGTTAAACCACTTCGAAAGTCATAATATCGCTCTTGAATTTTCTCGAGTCAATTCCATTTTCTCAACGACTAAACAAGTTTGGCAAAACCTCGTGACAAGACCGAGAATCTTTTTTTAAATCAATAAATGGTATTCGATTTTTAAAACCAAGGAGTTTTCAATTAAAAAGATTTTAATATGACAGGAACAGTGGAAATATTCCATTCCCGATACTTTTAGTGCAGCCCTCGTATCGGTTTCAATCTAGACTAATTTTGTAGATCTGTAGTGACAATCGTTTGAATTGTTGAATATAAAAAAAATGCAATAATGTAATTTCATACATCTGTTATAACGTTTAGACATAATTTTAGAAATAATTGTAACGAAATTCGTAACATTTTTGCGCTGAAGATGTACATTTTAAATCGAATTAATTAATTATATGTGTAATTTCAGAATCTATAAAGGGATATAAAGCTTTCGTAACGAACGAATCCATGCATGAATGTTATATTTTTTACTAACTCTGTTTGATGTTGAAGATACCACGAAGGCTTCGAACAACAGATATGTAACATTCTGGCACCTCTATTGATAAGCCTTTTTGCCAACTGAATACCAAAATATTCGTCGCTGAAGATGATTAAATGGCTGCATTCAGAAGTACAGTTAATCCTGTAATTGTAATATTATACCTGATATAACTTCAATTGGTGACATCTTTTAATAAGGTGACTTATTAAAGATCTTGTTAGCTCATGGTTTTGAATAATTATCATGTTATGTGGTTCTTTCTGTATTGTAAAAGAACCTAGAAATTCCAAAATTTAGACTTTACCTAAGGCTAGCTGGAAGCGCTCGATCTGTAAGTCTTAAAAGCACATGTCCTCGATGCCAACTCTTCGATAACAGGCGTAGAGCTCGTGGAGCTTCATCTGCAGCATAAGTCACTCGCCCTAGTGGTCGCACGTAGCCCTCACATATGCCCTCACTCATGAGAATCTGTAATTTCTGTGCATACGGACCAAATCAACGGACTGGAATTTGACAGCCCCAAAATTTCATTGAAATTGCCAGAGACATGCATCGCAGTAAGAGATATTCTAATGCGATCGTGATTTAAGATCGTGTCTCTAGGTCGACAACTGTAGTCACTTTATATTATCAGGGCTAGTCACTTATAAGCCAATTAAGATATATCAAGAAATTTTTTACTAACTTTCAATTCTTCCCTATTCGCAGAATCGAAAATGGATGCAAAATCAGTAATCGCATAGGATCTACTTTTCATTAAATTTTTCATACGGAATTCGAACTTGTGCTGATTTTGTATTTGTGCCGTGTCAATAACAATGCCTAGAGCACCAGAACATTGAAGTGAAACCTGAAATTAAGGACGTTATTTTATCTCAAAGTGTTCAATGCCAAGCTTAGCTAAGTACAAAAAAAAATTCTGTTTCCTTACATGTTTGAGCCAGGGTACAACATTGCATATTACAACATCGCAACCTTTCCCATTTGTTGCTGATAGTACCATGTCACCAAAAGTCACATCTCGAGAATTCCCAATGTGTTGTTCTGAAAATTTGGCAATCATATATTTTAGGGTTGGTTTCCAAAACTTTCCATTTTCAGACTATATTTGCGCATTGCCGAAAACAATTTTTATTGCGAGTACGCTGCTTATCCTGGGATTCAATTGCCAATCTTATGCAATTGTGATTCTATGAATATCGTCATCCCATCGATTTGATAGACGCCAGAAACCGACGTGGATATAAAGAGGCCCAAATGACTGCACCTTATAAGAATTATATTTAAAAATGCAATGATTTTGTTACCTTTCAATTCTGGATAGAGGTTTTTCAAGAAACTTTTCATTCTCACGTCACCCACTGTAGTGAACACTTGACATTTGTGTGCCAGAGCAATGGATATGGCAGCCTGGCCTAGTGCTCCAGCTCCTTCGTGTATTAAAATTTTCATACCCGAATAAAGTTTTGCTTTAATTATCTGAAAGATGGAAAATTAACAAGATTGTTCGGTGTAATACGATCGAACATCTTACGAAGCAATAACGCCACACTGAACGTTTACTTAAAGTTGCAGTTGAACATAACATAACAGTCGTATAACAACCGGGCTCCGCGGAAGTCGGGTTCGGTCCTCGCGGACCTCGCGGACGGACTGTTACATGTAACATTACGTTACAACCTTAACATTTAATATTAACATTTATTACAACATTAACATATAACAATAACATTTATAACATAGAGCATTTGTACGTTGTATTAAAGTGAGTTAGTAAAATCCAGACTTATCATTAGTAAACAACTACTGCGTCCTCGATGTGTGTCCACACAAAAAGTAAAAAAGAAAACTAGTAACAGAAGGGTCCAATGTATGTATCGGTAATTGAATAGAGCAAAATAACATAAACAATCAGACGTCAATACTCACTAGACAGTAAAAAGCATACACATAAGCTAAAGGAACAGTTGCTGCGTCTTCGAGACTCCAGTGATCCGGGACTGGCCACAACAGATCGGGGTGAGCTCGAAGATAATTTCGACAAGCACCTCGATGAACTATACCCATCACACGATGTCCACTACAAAAAAAAACGAGTAAATAATTTGGATATATGTAATTATAAAGCGAAAACAAAACAATTAAAATACAACCTTAACTTTTTTTTTTTTTTTATAGCTCGATTCTCTTCTTTTACGAATGACTCTGCCGATGTCAGGTAGATAGAATATCAGTGATATAGATAGATAGTATAGATTGTAGCAGATGAGATGAATGAGAACTGGAGAAAAATTTGTAAATATTTTTACAGTTTAATGTTATTGCGGGAAATAAAATAAGCTAATGCATTTACAACTTTAGGATTAGGGAATGTTAAGAGATAGTTTATTTTAACTGGGAACGGGATGTTAGTGTTAGTTAGTAAACAATATAGAGGTGGGCATTCATCATTGAGAGCGCATTCCAGAAAGATATGATCTAAAGTACCGATAGATTTACCGCAACTACACATAGGAGAAGGTTTAATTTTTAGCTTAAATAAAAATTGTGGTAAGCAAGTGACCCAATCGAAGCCTGATAAGTACACTAGTTATTTGCTTGTTGAATTTTTTGAACTTATAAAACCAAGGTTTGATAAAGACACTAGGATTTATTTTAGAATATTGATATTTGTAGGTCTCCCATTGCTTTTGCCAGTCTGATACGAGATTAAGTTTAATATTGTGAATAAGATCACGACTTACATTCGCGTAGTACTCACAATCACCACTATGTGTTGCTTCTTTAGCCATTTGATCCACAGTTTCATTCCCAAGAATTCCTGTATGTGAAGGGATCCAAACTATTTCAACTTTAATGTTGTTTTGATGACAGGTGAACAACAGGTTTTTGAATATACAAACTAGCGGATTTTCTAAAAAATTCTTTATCGGAGTCTTTGAAATGGCTTGAATAGCACTAGAACAATCACTGAATATCGCGGAGTAGTTAATTGAGTGCTGCATGATGAACTTTAGACAACTTATCAATGCAATACACTCGCCCGTGAATACTGAGGTTTCTGGGGGTAGTTTGTGCAATTTGTAATGATTTGCGTTTGGGTGATAGAAGGCAGCACCAGTGTTACCATTTGA